ATTACAATAAGGCTGCTATCTGGTGGAAACATCTGTTCGTTTATAGAGATTTTACTGTACCTTTATGCATGTACTAGCTGTTTTGAGCCGGCTTTAAACGCGTCAAGCTTATTGCTTTAAATTTCAGACATCACCTTTCCACCCATTTTCCGTGTGAAACTGAATTCCACTTCACAAAGCAAATTCTACACAGGCATCTTAAAGTGGATCTGAAATCGACGGAATGATTGAATATTTAAATTTTCTTAAAATCCAAATCTTTAATGAAGTAGACGCTGTCCATTAAAATGTTGCTCACAAAAGTTTCGCACACTATTTTTCACGCGTGAAACGCATCTCAAATGAATGTTGGCAGAGATCCATAAAAATATGTTTTCAGGCCGTTGCCAACAATTGCCCCTGGGCGAATTCCCTATTTTGATAGGCTTAACAAATTTTGGGCCACGCGAGGCTGGCGAATGTCCAAGCAGAGACGCAGCATATATGTATGTAGGCAAAAAAAAAAAACCCGCTTTAAAACTGCCCGCAGAGATGTGTGGCTAGTTTTCTATAAAAATAATAAATAAACTTAATAATAAAAGAAAAATGATCGTTAAGGCGCGTTCATTCTGTGTGAATGGCAAATAAAAGTGAACAGTCTGGCAGCATTGCGCAAAGGTATGACCATATACATATGTGAAGGAATAGAGAGAGAGTGGGGAGCATCAGGTAAATGGAACTGTATCCAATTTCAATTGCCTCGTAAAGCAACGCCTCGACGCTTAGAGCTAATTGAGATGGGGATGAGAAGGATGATGAGCATAGGAAGGAGTCGTACTAGGAGTAGGAGTAGGAGGAGCAGCGGCAACGCGCACATAACTCATGCCTCTCTCTGTCTCTCTCTCTCTGTCTCTCTCTGCCTTCGCAGGACATGAAGGAGCTGGCAGGAGTGACAGGGGCGGTGCTGGCTAACAAGCACATTAATAATATCTTAACGGAGACGCTGAAGTGGCGCCCGCGCCCAGCTCTGTGTCCCTGCCCGGGCTCTGTGATCGCCTCCAGTGCAGGACGTGGCCGTGCACCAAATGCAGTTAATTAATCATTTCGGGCAAAAGTAGTTTGGCGCTTGATTTATTTTCGGCCATAAGAACTGGCTGCCAACCACAACAAAAGTTAAAGTTTTCTCTTTCACTTAAATTTTTTCTTTATTTTTTTTTTTTGCTGGCAGGCAGCTGGAGACAGCCGCTGGCGCTGGCGCCGGCGCCACGGGCTCGGCTCGCGTCTGGCGCCGTTTGCCGAACTTTTGCCGGGCCAAAGAGAAAATACATATACATACATATATTATATTAAAAAGGCAACCATTTGAAGCCAGTCATCAGGCCGGAAAAAAAAACCACAGACCGACAGCAAGTCAGGCCAAAGCAGTTAAGCACGTCGCGGTCGGGTCTAATCGACTGCGCAATACGCTGTGTTTCCAGCTTAAAAAGCGTCCCTATGTCTCTCAGACTGTCAGCCCAAGCGGAAGTGACTGTCAAACTGTGACTGGTTTTGCGGCTGAAGGTGTGGCTTTCCACAATGTTTGAATGACTTTGGCTGTGGAAGATTTGGATGTTCGCTGGGCAGAATCAAAGATTTATTATAAAGCGCAGTGGCTCTGAAACTGTGAAGGCGTTAATGGCATCTTTGCAATTAATGTGTATATAGATGGGCGTGACTCGCAGCCTAGATCAATTCATCAGCTGGCGTAACCCAAAATGCAGTAGCTCTAAAACTGTGGAGCATGTGGAAGTTATCGTTGAGATAACTTCAAAACTGTTAATACAAAGCGCAAAGGTTTTCAAACTGTTACTGAGTAATAAATATCTGCGCAACGGCTGGGCGTGGCTCGATGTCTAGATGAGTTCAGCAGGGATAACTCTAAGACTTATTACAAGGCGCAGTGGAGCTAAAACTGTAACTAGATTATGAAGACTTTTGCATATTGTAAACCGTCCGCAGCTCAAAATTTAACTGCTCTAAAACTGTAGGAAATCTGAACTTGCGCTGGAATAACTCCAAAACTGTCCATAAAAAGCGCAGTTGCTGTCAAACTGTGACCGGTTAATATTGATGTTTGCAATTTGCGGAACGGCTCGATGCCTAGAATAATCCATAATAGTGTGACTCTAAAACTGTGGCCGAAAATGATTTTCGCGGTTTGAAAGCCACTGTGGTGTGCATACACGATTATTCAGTTTGTATTTGTAAGGAAAACAAGACATGCATGGCTTGCAACCCCTCATGCCCCTCATTCATTTTACTGCTCCAATGACTCTAAGACTGTAAGTAAATAAAGTGCAGTTACTTTCAAACTGTAACTCTTAAAATTGACTAACAATTTCAACCACTTGTGAGTAGGCGAACCATGGAGGCGCTTTTCAGTAGATTATCTGAGCAAATCGTGGTGTCGACATCAGCTCGAAAGTTTGTTAGAGCTATAGAGGGCGTGGCCCAGCCGCAACACCTTCAAAGCCGCAGCTATATTCACACACATATGCCTAGTTTTGAGTTCTTGGCTTTTAATTGACAGCTCGTATGGCCCTTTTCGCTTTGTCAACAGAGTATAAAGAGAGTGCGAGAGTGGAGGGGGGGGGGGGGGAGGCGGTGCAACTGGCTCGACATCGACTATGAGACGATTAATTAAACCGCAAGCGTTTAAGCGGCAAACCGCAGCAGCGGTAATGCCAGCAGCGAGCAGAGTTTGCTTTAATTTGACTTTCACTTTAACACACACACACACGCACACAGTCTCGTTTATAGGTTATGTTCTGGGCCCGGCCAGTGTTGCCCCATCGCGGCAAAGGCAATCAAATTTCGTATTAATTATGTGCTTAACCAAACACCTCCCAGCAAAAAGGGGCGTACTCTTGTATGTGGGATGGCGGATGGAGCAAGGGGGGGGGGGGCGGATCCGGCTTGGATTGCCGGCACGTAACATTTGCTGCTGCTGTGCGAATTGTAAACTGTCAGCTGGGTCACGTTGCCTGGGATTATGCGACAATGAGGCAGGCGAGGGGCAGCGGGGCGGAGTGGTGGGGTCGGGTGGGGGTGGGATGTGTGTGGGACTGCCGAGCGGAGCACAGTCTGTTGGCCATGCGGGTCAGGGACAGGGCAATAATTCTTTGGTTTTCACATTTTGCTGGCGCTGTCGAAAATCCTTTTGCGGCTTATGTTCATGCGGGACGACACATGTCGGGGGTCAGCCGAACGCAGACGAGCCCATCTCCCCCTCCCCCTCCTACACACACACCAACACACACACACACACACACACACAGGCACACACATAATTTTATAATAATAATAAGCACTAAATAACATAATCATACTAAACATTTGTTTAGGCTGAGCGCCATCTTGAGACGCCGTTGCCTGCGCCATATGGCAACGCCTTTACGGCAGCGTTGCCAGCTGTCGTTGAATTCTAGCAAATAGCTGAATCAGCTTTTTAAGCACATGAAATTGACAAGGTTGTGCACCGCATTTCGAGGCAAGGCAAAGAGCTGCCACCTTTTGCGCTGCTCTCCTTGCAGCTGCGGTTGGGCTGCAATGGGCAGCTAAAATTTGAACTGTGTTTTGTTCAAATACTTTCGCCCTTCCAGTTGACTTGCAGTCGGTGAGTGTCAGTCAAATTTTTTTCTCTAACGCAAAGCTTGAGCTCCGGTTGACCCGAGAAGCTGCCAGGGTTACATAGCCCAACATTTTTCTGTTTTGGCGCTGGGCTTAATATATATATTTTAATTACATATATTATTATTATAAGCATTTTTTTTATTATTTATTTATTTAATATTTCTTAGCAGCTGAAACCTAGCTCGAACGTTTTTTACTGCAATTAACTTGGTTTAAGTTTCGGTGCTTTTATTCTAAATATTTTAGAAATCTAGATGCGAACTGTTTCGCAGCCCTGGCACATGTTTAAACCTAGCCAGAATCGCAACACTCAACCTCCAACAATAGCCGATTGTGGCCAGAAAACAAGCTGAATGGGCCACACTGGCTGCGAGCGGCCACACTGTCGGTCGCATGCAGTCTGGCAACGCTGCAGGTCGTCGCGTGCACGCAGCGTCGCATGCGGTCGGGCTATTGTGCGGCAATTAAAGGGAATGAAAAGTCAAAGCGATATCAAAACTATTACAAAAGCGAAAAGTTATGTTGTCTTCCATTTGACTCGCTTTTTCCCCTCTCTTTCACTTTTTTTGTTTTGTTTTGTAAGTGAATATGATTGCATTCTAATGTCAGACATAAATTAGCGACTCGCACGCCATGCATATGCAGCCGGGGCCCACACACTGCGTAACTCGACACCCACACACGCACACACACACACATGCATTACGTGACAGGAGTATGTGAAACTTTTCAACTTGAACGAAAATTTATATGCTGAAAAATGTAGCTGGATGAAAAAAAAAATGCAAGGAGAAATGAATGCGCCGGAGCTGGAACTGGAACTAGAGTCGGAGTCGGAGTCGGAGTTACGACATTTTGTGCGGTTTCGCGTGCCACAAGCATAATGGAACGTGTCTGGCGCCTGCTGCGACTGCAGCCCAGCCACTTGTCGGGGTGGGCGTGGCAGCAGCAGCAGCAGCAGCAGTTGCCTGTGGATGAAAAACTGCCAGGGATTACGTGAAGCATTGGCTAAGGGATAGGGGGGGGGGGGGGGGGCAAAAAAGTTTTGCCGCTTGATTTTCATGTTGATTATAATCTTTAGTTTCGAACATGATCGCGGCACGTGGATTGCGAGTGCAATTATGTTTAAATTAAAGCAATTTAGTAAATTATGATATCTAGGCTTTGATTAAGTTATAAATGAAAGAATTTATTGCACAAATTCGTTTTTTAATATAAATTCAATTAATTACAAAATTTTAAGTTAGTTAAAGCAACTGAAATAACGATAGAATGTATCTCAAGCTCTAGTTAGATAGCAGATGTGCCAAGTCTTGCTTAGGTCTTCCAACTATTTGAGTTCTTTTCGGCGTTCTTGCTGTTGTTAATTGAAAGCTAATCGTTAATCGATATGGGCTGCACGTTTCGCAGCAAATGGGCAGCACTGTTCGAGAGAGTTGACTTCAGCCCTGGCAGCGGGCCGGAACCTTTTTTTCACGCTGTGTCATTGTGCGATTCAGACGTAATCCGACCGACGAAACTTATTTTCCAGCAATTTTCCTCCATTCCGAATCGTAAGTAAGGAAATATTTTATTTTATTGTTATTTCTTGAACATATCCGAATCTAAGGTCGATGATGTCTTGTGGCAATGAGCATGTGCAGCAGGAGCAGGAGCAGGAGCAGTGCCCCCCACGGGTGAGCCAACAGCCGATCTATATACATATACCGCGCTCCAGGATCATCATACTGAAGCTGGGCAAACAGTATCGTCGCCTCTATTTGGACGTACAGCCCACGACGATGGCCGAGCGACGCGCTCGGCTGGCGGAGGCGCAGCGGGCGGCGGCAATTGTGCGCCAGGTTAATCCGAAGCCCAAATATGTGGTGACGGTCATCATTGGTCCCACCGAGGTGCCGTGCGATCTGGAGCTGTTGCAGCACAATTGCGATTTCTTTGCGCGCGGCAAGCACGGCATGGCCTACGGCCTGCCCGCCTGCGATGTCAGCCTCGAGGCATTCATGATCATCTACAAGTGGATGGCGAAACCGAATGCGATCGTGCTGCCGCCGATGCTGATGAGCGTCTTCAAGGCGGCCATGTATCTGAAGATTCAGGTGCTGATCGATCAGTTTATGGTCGAGTTTCGTGATCCGTATACGGCGCGCGAGGAGATCGGCTTTCATATGTTCTTCGGCCTGCACAAGCTGAACGTCTATGTGCCGTTCCGGAAGACGTTGCGCGTTCACAAGTATTTCCTAACACTGATCGGCACCAAGGACTTCCTAAATCTGTGGCCCAATGCGCTCGTCTCGCTGCTCGACTCGCCCAACATATGCGTCAACTCCGAGGTGGAGGTACTCATTGCCGTCATACTCTGGCTACATCATGACTATCAGGCGCGCTGCTCCCACACCGAGCAGCTGCTCGGCTGCGTGCGCTTCGATAGCATTCCCCTGGAGGCGCTGCTCCAGCTGCGACAGCACAACTCCATCAATGGCCTGGGCCGGCTGCTCTTTCGGCCGGAGATCGAGATGTTTCTGAAGCGCGCACCCTCGCATAACAACAATATACGCTACTGCAATCGACGCATCTGGGTGTACGATCAGCTCTGCGAATATCATCACGATGCGCATTGCCCGAAGCGCAACTTCATTACGCTCGGCCAGTTCCAGGAGTTTCAGCTGGCGCTGCGCAACGCGCCCGATCTCCACTGGTGGCATCGCCATCAGCTGAATCCCTATGTGCACAACTGTCGCCACGAGAAGTGCCGCCGCCTCTCCGGACCCCATGGTCGTCGCTAGGCGGAAAAACACGGTCTGCCTTGAAAATGGAATTGTCAACAGATATACGACTCGTCCATCGAATGGATCATCCAACATGATATCATATCGTAGCATCACATATTTCAATTTCGATTTCGATTCGGATTCGGATTTGGATTTGGAGTTTGTGGCGAGTACCTAACCTCACTCTTACATATTTACTTTGGACACAACTGTACTAAATTGTTTCAACAAAAAAAAAAAAAAAAAAACAAAAGCTTTCAACTTGAATTGTAAAACGAACTCTCGAATGCCTTCCATGGCAATTGTGAGCGCAAGTCGCCAATTTCTCTTTTCGATAAACTTGTCTTTCGATTAACTAGCCTCACAATTTTCTATCGAAATGTACTTAAAAACCCGAATAAATAGTTCAATATGAACAGCTCGGAAACCAAAACTAACTTAAAGCTTCTTTAGTAGATATAATTAAATAAAAGATTATTCGAATCGAATTGAAACTGATTTATTCGAATTTTATTAATTTATGTACAGATTATTATTGTAGAAAGTCTTTGCTGATCTATTTAAATTTGATTTATGTATACTGTAAAAGAATATATAATCTAAGAATTTCTATCTATTTAAATTTTAGATAATACTTTTCCGCACAATCCCCGTCCGTGAGATATTTGCTACTACTTGGAGGCTCTATGTTTAAGATTATGCTTTAAATATGTGTTACGTTATTTTGAAATGAATCTTAAGTCGATTGGCTGATACACTTAGAACTTGTATACAAACGTATTCCACTAATTTTCCACTGTTACGGGTGGAAACGGCGAGTGATAGACTCAGAATTTAGTTTCTTGTAGCGACAACCTTTTTCTTTCTCAAAATAACGTGACCAGACTTAACATTTCGAATTTCACAATCATTCACAATCATGCATCCAATATATAGTATATATATATATATATAAGTATTAGTTAAAAATGAGTTTCTATATGAACAACTTTTCTGTTCTTCAAGGTAACTTGAAGGTAACTTCAGCTTAATCATATTTCTAGCACTACTTTATTATGTGGATCTTCTAGGAACAAAAGGATGGAAATAAAGCTTGGGAAGTGCTAAACGCTTATAAGAAGACATATCCGACTTCATAAGGTATATATACCTCGCAAGATACTCTGTAATTGGCAAATGTTGGGAAGTGTATTAAATCTTTGGCATGCCGAGGATCTCGTTACTTTCCCTTTTGTTTTTTTTTTTTATTATTTTTGAAATTTATTTATGTACCTTACAAACGTTCCATCTTTCCCATTTTCATATATGTATATCATAAAATGATTTTATTTAAATTATTTGTTGCCGTCATTTCTGATATTTCTTCAGTTAGCTAACCCAACTTTTGACTAAGCATTTGCTAAGAACAACAGCAACATAACCTCAAAACTCTATCCGAAAGATATCTTTTTGTTCACACACACACACACAAGCATACAAATGTCAGCTCAGTATCAGCTTGGGTTATGTGTTGTGTTGTGTAAGGGAGATGGGGATGGGATGGGCTGCTGGAGATTTGAGGGGGGGTGGGGGGTCATTTGGGCCGAGTTCTGTTTCAGTTGGTTTACGAAATGCTTTAGGCAAGAAGTTCAGCTGCCAATTGCAGTTAACCGTTTAGCTGGCTCCACACAGAATCTGACATCCATTGAATCTTTGGGGTTAACGCAGGAGAATCGGGTTTTGTTAACGAGTTTCCCCCAGTTGACGATTTAGTCAATCCTTATTGCCTTTGATATTTGGCATTCCTCGCCTGTGGCTTCAATGGCAGCGACAGCGTTACGAATTTATATCCATTAGCTGTCAGGTGAAATATTTGCACTAATTGCCATTTGGCATTTGGCATTTGGCGGCGGGTCGGTCAAAATGGTCGAATTAATCATTTTCCGATTTTGGCATTGGGCTTTTGTTTGGGGCGTGCGCGGCGCATTTCACGCGCCGTTAAAGTTTAATCGAAAAAGTATTTTTGTGGCCAATGAAAAGTCCAATAACAAACAAAATGAACTTCTTGAGTTTCGTTTATGTCGGAAGTTTTTGACCCCCCCCCGCCCAGGTACGCAGGGCCCTATCCCTGCCCCCCCCCCCCCCCCTCAGCTCGAAATGATGAAGTGCAGCCTGCAATTGACAGTGTCAAGAAGAAGAAAACACAAGCAGAAGCAGCAACAGAAGGAGAGGAAGAGAAAGAGAAAGAGAGACTCGTCAACTTTTGTGGCGGTAACAGAAAACTTTGCGCCTAAATGCGCAATTAAACCAAATTCAAAATTCAAAATACACAACTTTACAACACTGGCATATTGCATAACTTGTTGGAGTGTGCGGGACTTGGAGGGGGGGGGGGGGGAAAGGAAAGGCCAATTCATCAATTGGCCTACAATAATGATAAAGTGCTCCTCATTCGAGCATATTATATTGTTTCGATGAAATGAATAAAGTTTTTGCCTCAAGGAATTTATTATGGCATTACGAGTATTCGAGATAAATGTTTGTAAACAAATTTTTGTTTTTTTTTGTAACTCGCATTCATCTCACACTTAACGACAGCTCGCTTATGTTAAGACAAACTCTTCAGAGAATAATGTGAAAAAGTTGCCCGCCTTAAGCCAGGAAGCTGCATTTCCTGTCAAATCCACTCGCTTTTGTGGAAAATAGGTGAAAAATGATTGTAAACAAAATACACGAGTCTTCCCCCCCCCCCCCCAGTTGGAAAACGTATTGCATTCTCTTCTAAGCTCCAGACTTGTTTTAAAGTAGGAAAATAGGCAAAAACTTGTTGCGATTCGTTTTTTAAACTCATCCAATCCACTTCACTGGCTGGAAATGGGGGTCGAAGGTTCGTAAAGATGTTAACTAAGTATTTCACAGGCGAAAGTCAGATGGAAAGGCAAAGAAAGTACTTGGCTGAGAGCCGCGTAGTTCCAGTTGGGAAAGCTAGAGAGTAGAAAAGTAAAAATGGTGGAAAATTCCACCTGTAACCGTGGAAAATTGGTGGAAATCGAGTATAAGAAACAATATTGTTTACAATTCGATTGAGTTTAAACTAATTTCAATGAACTCTGTGAATGTTGACCTTGCGCTAAATCCATCCCTCCACAATGGAAGATGGGAGTCGAAAAGTTGTGAGCCAAGCTTAAGCCGCGCAAAGCCGGGTAATGCTCATCAGTGGAGTGCAGTAAATAACTTGGATTAAAAGCATGCCGAAGAGAAGAGAAATCTCTTTCCATCTGGCATTCGCTCTGCTCGGAACTAACTGTGAGAACTTCTGAGTGCTGAGCCGAGCTCAATGGGAAAAATGGGGAAAATGGGAAAAGTGGGCGTGTGGCACCAGCGACAGCTAGTCATGTCAGATCGACAGTTATAGGAAAAAAACAAAACACACACACACGAACTGTAAATCAAAATACACAGAACATTTTTGGAATAGTTTTCTGGCGGAAGCGGGAACTTCAAAAAAAAAAAAACCAAAACGACCATACAATATTGATGGGAGACATGCTGGACGCGGCGCCGCCACCAAAGGAGCTGCCGAGCAAGGCCCAGGCCCAGGCCCAGGCGAAGCCGAAGAGCGCGATGCCCTCCAAGCCGAAAAAGGGCAGTGTACTCAGCGCCATAGAGGACATACAGCGCATGTGAGTCGATCGGGGAGAGGGTGGGAGAGGAGATTGCCTATTATGTATGTATATCCATTAGGTCACCGGAGGCGATTTGTCTGGAGTTCGATCGTCTGGTGGAGCACACGAAGCGCCATTTCAAGGAGGAGCCACAAATGCCATGCACGGGCGTCGCGACGCAGCTGCAGCGCTGCCTGAAGAAGCATCGACAGCAGTCGTTCCAGTGCTTCGATGCGATGGACGAGTACAGGCAGTGCATCGGTTTGGCCACCCAAGACCATATTGATCAGCTGGCCGAGGAGGAGCTGCAGCGGCAACAGCTGCCGGTCGCGCCGCCCCAACCGATGCCCGCGCCATCCTTTCAGGCCAACTCCAAGGAGAGACGCCGTCGCAGCTGGTTTAAGCCCTGGACCTGGCTGCGCTAGCCAGGTCAAGCCAACTCCCCAACTCCCCATCCCCAACTCCCCATCCTCATGCCCTTACAAATATTACCAAAATTGCTGGCAGCTGCGTTCAGCTTTGGATGCAGCTGCCCATTCGCCGTCGTCTGCCCTCGGATAAATCCTTTTTGCTAATTAAAATGGCGGCGTTCGCAGCCGCCGCAACGACTTGACCAGCTCCAATCGCTTCTTCTTACTTCCAGCCTGCCTGCCTGCCGTCTGGCCAACTAACAAATCGATCGGCAGTGCCCGACTTACAGATGCCCTAGCCCTTGCAGATAGTCCAGCTTTCCTTAGGAAACGTGCTCTGGAATAACTTGGCTGCGATAGTCTTCGATACCAAACATATCGAGTTTCGTGTTTCGAGCTCCAAGAATTCTCGAACAATAGCGTCTTATCGATTCTTATCGATATTTTGGCAGCGCGGTCAGTTATCGATCATTTGACGGAAGCTTCAACTTTTCATTTCGTGCTGGCTAGTTGGACTTGATTCCGTGTGGGGAATATCTGCCTCGTTCATTTGCATAAGGCCATTATACCCCTTTTTTATACATTTTCAATGGGTTTGGGGTATAACAAGGCAAAATATTTGTGCAGCACTCTCGGAGCTGCTTAGCCCTGGCCCTGCTGGCTCTGGAATGCTGCCAGTTGCTGCAACACTCATTCATTTGAATGTCTACATCATCTCAGCTGCCAGCAGCATGTGTCCACATGTGTCTCTGTGTCTGTCTCTGTCTGTGTGTAAGTGCAGGACGCATCCTTCCTGCGGCGCTGCAATTTGCAATAAAAGTAAATCTGCTGCAGCTGCTAGTCACACGGCACACGGCAGCCTCAGACCCCTTGACCCCTTGACCCCACACCCACACCCACACCCACACCCGGCTCCGACGGACGGCTCCGCCTACGCCTGGCCAGGCCAGGGTGCGGTTACGGGTTGAAAGCCTTTCGGCCACGGTAAGCAAACATTAGAATTTATTAAATCCAACTCACGGCGTCGCCTGCCGCACACGAACCCAAACAAAATGAGTAGGACAACATTGAGACAAACTTTAAGATACCCTGTAAATGCATAAAATAGTATTAACATTCAGCTTGGAGTTGAATTTTCCAATTGAAAGGCGTTAAGTTATTATCAAGTATGTGGTTATCGCATTCATAACAGCCAAGCGTTAGTATGGCGATAGCACGGCATTCAACAGAACCTGCCGAAGGGTAAACAAAAAGTAAAAACGTTTTCCGTAAAAGAATCTTCTTTTCGACCGATCGTTCAAATTATAATACCCTCTACCAGGAAAATGTGCTATCGCATATTCAACTGCCAGGCGACATGTATGCATGTATCTCACCCAGGCAATGCTCTCTACAGAAAACCTATCGAAATTTCGATAACTACTCAAAGTATCGAATGCTTAATCGAAACCCTTAAGAATATATATATATATATGAATATATCTCCTCCATGCAATACTCCCTACAGAGAACCTATCGAAATATCGATAATATATATATATATATGAATATATCTCCCCTGGCGATGTATATATATGAATATATCTCGCACATGCAATATTCTCTATCGAAATATCGATAGCTACTCAAAGTATCGAATGCTTAATCGATATTCGTTAAAATATATACATATATATGAATATATCTGCCCCAGGTAATACTATCTACAGAAAACCTATCGAAATATCGATAACTACTCAAAATATCGCATTCTGTATCGATATCCGTTAGAATTTGCAATAACCAGCAAATCTATCAAGCTTAAGCTTATAAAACCGTTAGCTTAGCTCGGACTGAGCAGAGATTTGGGCAAAATGGCAGCCACACATCAACTTTGAGAGCTGTATGTGAAAAGGGTCTTCGGCCTGGGCACTTTATGGCACTGCAGTTGCCCACTGGCGCCATCTACATAAACTTAAGCGCAACTTAAACCCTTGCTTAGCCTGTCCATGAGTACAGGGTATAAAAGGAAAAATTATTGCATATAAAACTCACCTGGCTAGTAAGTGTGAGGAGCGGGCAGAGGGCAGAGGGCGGCACGGGGCGGAGGGTCGGAGGGGCCGAGAAGATGTTCGCCGTGAAGTGGGGCAATAAACTTTTGGACGCCGTTGCCACGCCCACACCCACACACATATATACGCACTCAGGCCCAGCTAGAGATTTGTATTATCTTTTCACACACACCCACACACACACACACATACTCGCACACACACGACCTGCACACACACACGCCTAAATACACACGGAGCACAGGGGAGCGTGTACCAATAATCCAACTTTGCTTTTAGCATTTTCCATCCAAAAATAACAAAAACGAATAACAAAAAATCATGTAAGCAGCCTTTAGTCGAGTTGCCCGACTAGCAGATACCCTGCACACACTCTATACATTGATTGTGCTTTTTCTTTCCCCTACAGCACTTCATTTTGGGGTAATGCAATCTTATTTAACTTCGCTTCCCATAGTCCGATCTTAATGAAATTTTCACAGCTGAAATATGGCATAAAAAAGTGCGTGTATACCAAAGTTCAAGGACGTAACTCTCTTTTTTCTCGACATCAGCGCAGTTTCGCCAATAGATGGACAGAAGAGCACGATTAGCTTGATATAAATATAAATAATATATTGACATATGTTTTCTTCTGTATGAGCTCGTAGAGGACACCTTCAGCCTGATACATGTACTTGCACTAAGCCCACATACCCATTGTTTATCCACTTCCAATGGGCGCAGGGTACAAAAAAAAAAACAAAACACAAAACCGACTTCAAATAGCCAAAAAAAACGAGTTTTTGACCAGTGCCAACAACAAATAACAAGCAGCGCATACATTGACCCAGGCATATCGCGTATACGCATCTCAAGATACGATATTGATATAGGGGCTATTGAAGGGAGAACGTGCTCTTACATTTTTAAACCGAAAGCATGGTAAATTCCAGTTCCTTTTAAGTCTATAAAACATTTCAAAGATATGTACATATATACAGTTTTTTGTGTTTTGTGAATAGCACACTTTTAAATCATTTTTGACAGGCTAATTTCGTAAATTGTGTTACATTTCTGAAGAGGAGAGGAGAAAGTATTTGAATATTAAGCAACGATATCTCTAAACAAACGGGAATAGCCCTAATGTAACATTTTTAGAGATTATTATCGAGCTGAACACTTGTGCACGTATCGATATATATCGATAACTTTTTTATAATACCTGTAAGATGCTTTATTTTGCTATTAAATATATCGAGAAGCCCCATCTTTAAGCAGAAATATATAGTTGAGAATACCGATAGTTATCGATTAATAAATATTTGTAAAATAGTAACCCGAAATTCAAATTTTTTTTGGTATTATCGATTCGATTTGGTAATATCATATCAAGAAGCCCAATTTTTAATGAGAATTATGGAGCTGAGAGTATCGATACTTATCGATATTTAGTTAAAATGAAATATTTTTAAAATAATTACCCAAAGTTGAAGTCAATTCGGATTTAGCATTATACTTATTTGGTTATATCGATTCGATTTGCGATTCTTCAGTAGATAAACAGAGTTGAGTGTATCGATATGTATCGGTCAAAATAATAACCCAAATTTCAGTTGAATTCGGATTTGCCATTACACAACCTTCAATTGGAATTTTTATCGGGCTTATCGATTTAAAACTTTTGTAGCAAGCATTACCTGCGGCAAAGTCTTGAACAAAAGATGGCTGCATTAAATCGGGCTTCCTTAGTTTGTTTCCAACTGCAAATATCTTTAATCTATAATCTGCCAAACAAAGACACTGAAAATCCGTTTTCGGGGCTTCTCTTGCAGTGAAGGCAGAGCACAAGCTGTGACTTAATAAAAGAAAAAAAGCAAGCAAAAATATAAATAAACACAGCACGGCAAAAAAGGGAAAATATCGTAACAGCAGCAGAAACAAGAACAAATCACAGTGTACTCAACTACGACAACCTGCGGCCCCCAAACCCAGCCCAACCTAACCCAGCCCCCCGTTAGTCACCTTGCCCTGCTTGAACCCTTGAGTTTATGCTCGTTTAGCTGGTTTTTCGATGTTTTCCTTTTTGAAGAGGGCTTTCATGCGCACAGCCCATTGCGAACGTGTAAAAAGGGTATAATGTTTTTGTGCACATTTACGTCACAGGCAGAAGGCAGCATACCCGACCCCCCTCCCCCCCTCTCCCCTTCCCCCCCTGACCCGTCGAACCAGAAGAAAATATGAGCATAAATCTTGGTCTGTCAGGAATATGCAAAATTTGTATAAATGAAATTCGTAATATACATATATATTCCATGATAAACCGCACGAGTTTATCGTTTCTTTTTTTCGATAATATCTTTGCCCATATTCATATTATCGATAAATATCGATTTTAAGACAGGATCTGTCATAGCATAGCCCGAGAATTATGAGTGCCAGATACAGCAAAAACATAAATCATTTCTTTTAATAGCCCTAGCAATATCTCCCGAAATCTGAAGGAACTCATATTGTAAGCTAGAGCTTTGAGATTTGGTATGCAAAATTATTGAAATGTCATATTGAATCTATGAAATTTTTATGAAAATCGAACGATAAGCAGCGAAGTTAATTGGGAATGCCATTATCCATTAATGGAATGGCGCAAAGGTAAGAAGAAGCAGCACAGCCGCTCAGGGTATCTCCTAGTCAGTCACATTCGGCTTACGTGCTTTTTCGGTTGCCGCCTCAAAAGCATCGTGGCATAAAGATTATTATAAAAGTATTTTTGCTAAGCTCTCGTTCGTGCCCTGCACTTGCCGTCTACCTGGGGGCGTGGCCAGCTGGCTGGGATAGATATACGTATACGTATACGTATGTGCATATGTTAGTATCTGGTTGGTCTTGGATCCATCTCTGTGCTGGCATTTGGCCCGGCACTCTGGAGGCTGTGAGTGTGTGCATGGCCGATGGCATCTGGTCGGGCTTACAATTTAGGGTATAATTTATTAGCGACCTGCTTAAAACTTGATCTCAGCTGGAGGCAGTCATTAAATCAGTTTGCACAGCTGCAAGGTGGCCATGGCAACAGTCCGAACGCAATTAAATTGCGACACGGCAAAACGAAAGCAAATCAACTCGTCTCCAATCTCCAAGTCAAATCTCTCAGTGGCAGTTTGCCTCAAACAGCTACCAACTACTATTGCCAGATGCTGTCAATGGTATCGTTTGCAACAAATTGCAGTCGCTCAGTCAAAGAGTCCGTCCGTCCGTCCGTCCGTCCGTCAGTCAGTCAGTCAGTCTGTCCTTCATTCAGCTGGCGGTCGGAGCTGCGGCGTGTTCTCAGTTTTGATTATCGCACGATTTCGCCAATTACTCAACATGCACTTTTACGCTAATACAAGAACAATCGAAAGAGTTTTGATATCGAACACAGTCTCTCAAAAACAAACGATAACTTATCGATTTACTGCAACAAATTGTGTGCGTCAAATTATCAAAACGCGAACCACTTGAATGAATATTATTGAAATAAAATTAATTAAAAATCAAAAGGAAGCCAACTACAGTTTATCGATAACATATCGGCTTACTTCTCTGACACTGCGACTTCTTTTAAGCCCATCGATTTTAAATTTCTAAGTTCAGATAGTCAAAGCAGATTGAGGAGAATTTCAGTTAGGCAGCTGCTGCCTATCGATAACATATTGACTGTTAATCGATAACAAATCAACTGCGAACTAAGCGAAATCGAGTTTGTTTCAGACACAGACATGTCTTGTCGATAATAACTTATCGCCTTCTGCAAAGCAAGTTGAAAGTTGGTTGGGGAAAGGTATATGCAGCTACAAATGGCTAGAAAATTGTGTGATAGGTAACTGACCTCGATTTTAAAGACATTTATCGAAATTCAGCTGTTGCCCAGCAATAATATTTAACAGAAGGAAACTGTATTAATAACTCAACAAAATAATATCAGTATCAGGCAACTAATTTGTGACGAAGCCGCACACATGCTTTTTTTTTTTGTGATGAGTTTCAGTTTCGATTACAAGAAGCACATGATTTCCTTGCCAAAAGCTGAAACAGCTTGGCAGACAGCCCAAGTTTGTCCACAATTTACTTTTTTCCGCGCGGATGGAGAGCGGCAAAAACTCGCTCAAATTTCATACGATTGTTGCGGCGCAGCGTTGCCATATGGCCACACAATGTAGAACAAGGAGTCAAGTATGAAAAAAAAAAAAAAATGAAAATTGTATAAAATAAAAATAAAAGCGAACACGATTTCGGTTTGCATATTTGATCAAGTGCATTGAAATAATGCAAAGCTGTTGCATAAGTGCATTTGTCTGTTATACATATACTGGCGCCTATGCGCCGGCCCCGCTCCGCCCGTGCGGCGCCCTGCTTGCCGCTTTCCGCTAGTTTTCAGGCGAATCAATTTAGCGTAAGTAAAGTTGTTTTATACCCATTGAAAATGGGCTGAAAAGGGTATAACAGCTGTGTTGAAACAGGCAGAAGGAAGCTTCTCTTTACCCAGCACGTAGAGCTAAGTCCATCTCGGCATTTACTATATATGTATGTATGATACTCCTATATGATATGCAGATCAAGTTTATCACTTTTTCCTTAACGATATCTTCTTACATTTTCAATATATCGATATCGATAAATATCGATACATATCGATACTCGTGTGAGATATATAAATAGAATATATTTCACTTCTTGGATAATGTTAACGAATTTGTAAAGGTAAGGCCTTGCAACAATTTTGTCAGGCTTATTAAAGGCAGATCGGACTATAAGCACCGAAGTTATTCAAGAATGCATTTACCATACATAGATGCTGTGAGTATGAGGGAAGCAGAAGCGCAATGAAGAACAAGCAAGAATGTTTGTAAAGGCAGCTTGGATGCACACAGGTATGTGTTAGTCGGGCACACCCGGCTGGCGCACATTAACGTGGTATTTTTCGTTTTTTTCTTTTGTTTGCAAGGGCGCAAGTTGCCTGTCATGTGCAGCAGCCGAAGGACTCAAGCAGCTCGACTTGGACTTGGCGGTTGTTCAGGTTTTGTGTGTTTGCTGGCTGACTTTGTGGTTCTTCTTCTTCTTCTTCTTCTTCTTGCTGTTGTTGTTGTTGTTGTTGTTGTTGTTGCGTTGTTTTGGGCATGTGGCGCAATTATGCCAGGAGCCGAGTCCTGCTGCCCTGCTGCCCCTCTCCCAGTTCGCTCGCTCTATTAATCAAAAGTTATACAAAAAGCCAGCAAACTGCGCCACAAGAATCCCAACGCCGACTTGCTCCTGTTACAGCTCTTCCCTCCTCTCCTCTCCTCTCCCCTCCTCTTTTTCTGCTGCTGCTGCTGCTTCTTCTTCTTGTTTGCAATTTAACTTTGCGCCGAGCGCAGGCTCTACACGCCGGCTTCCAGTTGAGGTTTGTTGCTGCATCCCCCCTTCCCACCCTTTTCGACTCCGACCAGGATCAGCTTGGGCGTAAAACAAGTTATAATATTTTATGAAAGCTACATTCTGGTCTGAGTCCGGGTCTGGGTCTGGGTCCGGGTCTGGGCCTGGGTCTAGTCCCAGCTCCGATTTCGTAGCTATAAATAAATAAAGCAGCCAACACACAATCAAAAACCAATGAACCACACCAGCAACAGCAGCAACAGCAGCAACAGCAGCAGCAACCGCAAATGACAGCAGGAGGAGCGGGAGCGGGAGCGGGAGCAGGACACACAACCTTATCAGTTGGCGGGCCATCTCGCCCATCATTGTGCTCATCATCATCATGGCTGGACGTAATCCTTGGCCCAAGCACAGAGCGAGCGGCGGGCACATTTTTGCGGCCATGCCATTATTTACTTTGCTGCCCGGCTCCCAATCGCAACAAATAACTGAAGCGACCCATCAAAGGACTCTCAGCTCTCAGCTTCAATCCATTTGCCGGACTCAATTCATGTGGTTCAACTAGTCGCAAGAGGCCGGCTTAAGGATTTATAATCGCAATTGCATTCGAGTTATGCCCGAGTTCTGTTCTCAACATGGCTTGCTTTAGCTTTAAACACACATTCGGAGGTTAGTTCAAAATTTGAACTAGTTTTATTGTAGTCGGCAGTGTAAAGTACCCGGCGTCGCCCGTGTAAAGTGGGGCCTGCCAATGAATACATATGACATTATTGGAGAAGGAAAAACAATTTGCACATCTATTCATTTTTCACTTGTTTTCTTATCTTTTAGTTTATGAACATTGCCTTTTCTTTGTGAATAAACAACATATCAAGTAAGCAAATGTAAATATTGAAAAGTATTTTTGGATTTGAACCGGCAACCTCTCGCTGGTTAGACCGACGCTCAAATATATAGTTGCTTTGCTGGTGACGTTTGTGATGCAAACGTTTCCCCACTTTGGTTGCCTGTAGGAAAAGCTTTCAACTTCCTTTAACGTTTCATATTATTTTAGCAACAGGTGGCGCTTTAGTGCAGCTGTTTGATGTATTTTTTTGGAATTCCCATAATTGAATATATGTACATATATAATTAAGTTGCCCTACACCTAACCGATGCGAATGCCAGTAGGCGTTGTTTTCCATGCGTATTCTAACAGATTTTAATCAGATTTCCTCTTCGAGAAGCCTTTACAAAATTGTCCGAAATTCTCGAGTTTTTCGAATTTCATGTATTCTTTTTAACTCTGAATTATTTTCTATATACATATATTTAAGCCCTCGATATGAATGAGTTTCGGATGTTGCGAGAGGCTTGGGATGAAATATTGCAGCGCTATCTGAGCCTGGAGGTGTTCTCCATTTGGCATACGCGAAATGCGGAACAACGTCGCGAGTATGTGGTCCAGCGTCTGATCAAGGACTGGTTCCCCTGGTTCTACTGGTTCTTTCTCATCTACAGTTTTCTGGGCCTGGTAAGTCCTTGCATATATGTATATGGCATGCCTTGCATATATAATATCGCTCCCCCCATCGCCGCAGATGCACCAGCTCATGCAGTTCCTGCGCGCCCAGCTGGTCAAGAGCCGTCCATTGACCATGTGGCGTGCTCGTGTCTTTCGCGGAATACGCGACTCGGTCATACGCAAAATGCGCATCGGCGGCAGCTTTTTCATGCTCGTCTGCTGGTTCCTGCTCTTCCTTGGCCTACTACTGGTGGGTGCTCTCCCTATATTCTATATAAGTATATAATACCAGGCCACATCCTCTCTCTCTCTCGCTCTCTCTCTCTCTCTCTCTCTCTCTCTCCATGCAGAACAAGCCCAAGTGCATGAGACCCTGGGTTTCCGCAAGCAGCCTCGTGCTGGCCTTGGACTTTGTGCTCTGGACCTTGGAGATTATGTTTGGATACGATCAGTTCAACTGGCAGTGCTTGATGAGTTTTGTGCTGCCCTTCATTTGCCAAATCTTGGTGGGGAACATTGGCAAACTCCTCGAGGATCCCAATCACAAACTGTTCGACACATGAACCAGTTACATTCACAGCTGGTTCATTGCATTTGCCGCTGATTCGTTTTAATAAAGTTATTGTTTTAGTTCCACTTCAAGCTAATTATTTTGCATCAGCAGCTGGTGAGCTCGAATCATCTGAACTGATGAATGAGTTTCAGGTTGTTTTAGTTATAGTTCCAGTTCTGTTTGAGCTTGATAGGAACTAGTTCAGCTGTAGTTTTTGATTGAAAGGTGAGCTTCAGTAACTATTAGTCTGGTTCGGTTCCAGTTCCAGCTCGAGATGAGCTAGTTGAAGTCAACGTAAATGTTCTTTCAAGTCACTCAACTAGGTCCTTTATCTAAATCCGGACTAGTTCCCCTTCATAGTTTCGGAACTAGTTCCCTTTTCTAGTTCCGGGACTAGCTCCTGTTACTATATAGCGTATCTTCTCTTCTCATCTCTAGTTCCGGAACAAGTTCACCCACCTTGTGTCGGAACTGGCTCCTTTTCCTAGTAGCGTAATTAGTTCTTTCTTATCACTCACCGAATCCATTTATCTATTTCTGGACTAGTTCACAGTTATAGTTCCGAAATTAGCTCCCGTTTCTAGTTCCTGGACTAGCTTGTTTGACTAGAAACGTAACAATGTCCTCCAGTTTCGGAACTAGCTTCAATTTTTATATCCCGAACAAGCAACCATTTTGGGTACCGGACCAAGTTCACCTACCTAGTTCCAGAACTGGCTCTTTTTTCCAGTAACGTAATTCATTCTCTCTAGTCACTTAACTAGTTCGTTTATAGTTTCGGAACTAGTTCCGTTTTATAGTTCCTGGACTAGCTCCTGTTACTAGTAGCGTATTTTATCTTCTAGTTGCGGAACTAGTTCCAGCTAGTTTTTATCCCTAACAGGATACCATCTCTCGTTCCGGAACAAGTTCAACTAGCTAGTTCCGGAACTAGCTCTTTTTCCTAGTAACATAATTCGTTCTTTCGTTAGTTCCTTTATCTACTTCCTGACTAGTTCACCTTCATAGTTCCGAAACTAGTTCCATTCCCCCACCCGTTGCAGTTCGCGCGAACTTTATCGCCCTGTTTTTACCCAATTTCACTGGCAACACTGATTCAATTTTAATTACGCGACAATTTGACAACCCCCCCCCCCCCCCCCGCCAAACGAACCAGCCCTACGCGCAGCACTTGCCCTTTTTCTAATTTACTAAAATTGCGCGTGGTTTGACTTTTGTCCCGGAGCGTTGGGCGGGCATCGAAAACTTAATAAACGAAATGAGCGCCCAGAATTGTCTTCACTCTCCACACTTCCGTCCCTGCTCTAAACCATATCCGTTATCTTCAGCTCCTGCTTCCGTTCCCGCTGCTGCTGCTGCTGCTGCTGCTGCTGCTGCTGCTCCCTTTGCTGCGTTGGCGGCTCCTTGAAAAGTTTTGTGTTTAATTTAATTTACTTTAACTCGATTTCGTTCTCATGAATTCGCGTTTAGCGGCAAGCGACAACTTTTTAATTACCAGGTGGCCCACATATGACAACGGATGTGGTTCACTCCGGCACTTAGATACTTACATGACATGGCCTCTTCTGAAACAATGTATTTAAATTGAGTTCATAAAATAGACACGCACCCAATGAAAACCCGTTGCCTACACATAATCATCATGAGCAGAGACTGCTCGACTATTGGGTGACAGAAAGAGCTTGTTAGATGAGCTGGGGCAAGCTTAAATGAAAATCGCTTAATGATTATAATTCGTTTTTATAAGCTTTTAGACGAAATACTCGAAGGTTGAAAGAGGACTGAAGCCCTTAACTTTATGCTCAATGTGCCTAAGCTTGCCCAACATATATCTCTTATTTATTTTATTTATATCTATATAATATTTTTAGCATATTTTCTTTGTAAATAATACAATTTTAGCTGGGTTTGAACCAGCGATTTCACTTATACTGGTCCGACTTTCGATTTTTTGTGATTTTCATTTACAAATCGAACAATTTAACTTTTTTAAAAATTACGCTTTAAGTTGATTTCTATATATTTGCATTGTGCGGCGGCTGAGCTGGCCCACGTTCGCTATTGTGTGGGCCGCTGTCGCAGCATGTACAATGTGGCGTATACTTAATGCGTATACTTAATGCGTCGCGTTGCTCATACGCGGCGTTGTCATTGAGTTGCGACGGCGTTGTGACTGGCTTTTGTGATGCGACTTAAACGTTTGCACCATTTGACTTAATGAAGCTTAAAGACAATAAAATGCTTAAGCACACAATGTTGCCACAATTTGTGTGTCGCCTGTCGAACATCTTCGCTGGCAACTTTTTGGCGGCCGCGCGTCATAATTTCTATGAATTTTATACACTTTGATAAGCATTCAATTGGCATGCGAGTCACGTTCGACCCAGCCAGGCAGACGGGCAGAAAGGCAGCCCGGCAGCCAGCTAGGCGGCCAGGCCACGCCCCCTACTCAACGCCCATTCGGTAGCTGTTGTTTGTGTTGTAAACTTTGGTGTTGGCCATGTAAATCAGGCACAAAGACAATTAAACGCGCCGGTCACGACAACAATGTTTAGGCTAATGGAACCTGGCAACGGGCAACTCTGAAAGCTGTGAACTGGAACTGGAATTGGAACTGAAACTCGAACTGGAACCTGAACGCGAGGCGCACTTCCTTTTGCCATTTCCGTTTGTTGTCGCAAAGTGTAAACAATTAAATTTTAATTAGAATTCGCAAAGGCTGCACATACCAAATGCCAGCCTTGCCACATACCAAATGCCAGCCAGGCAGACTGATAGAGGGGGGGGGGGGGACTCATTTCCGGCCTCGTCTGCTGCGTTATTTATTGCTGCCGGCCCCCTCGCATCGGGCCTGTAAATTCAACTGTTGGCACTTAATAGCAAAATGGCCAAAAGCCTCTCATTTGCCACATTCGGTTTAATAAACTCCAGCGATTTGACGTATTGCCAGCTTAGTTCTAGCCACTTAACTGCCAACTGCGTGTGCCCATGGCCCATGTCGACGATTTATGCTACCCAAAGGTGTTAATGCTTGTGTGTTTGTTGCCTACCTTTGAACCAGCGCCCTGCCACTTGAGCCTTCGGCCCTGACAAGTTCTTAAGTCCTATGATTTGTGCGCCGTTTTGTCAGTTAGGCGCTGGCTCTCGCGTTGAGTGGGCCAAGCTTACATACATTATGTGTTTAAATGCTTTCCAATTTTGAGAATCGCAGAGAAAGGCTGAACGGTGAAAGGCGATACAATTATAGATCTATATGTTGTGCTTATATTATCGATTAGTATATCGATCAATTCACTATTAATACATACAAAATTATTTATCGATCGCTTATTAAAAGCATCAAGCATTTTATTTCAATCGATTGTCCTAATCTTATCGATTTACTGTTTTAAGATCCCAGATATATCGATATATCGATGTGTTGACTATTGATAGCTCATTATTTATATATAAATCGACCCAGCTAACATTAACTTCTTACCCATTGACTATCGCTACATCAATCTTTCGATTGTGCTTATATAAGCAATTTATTTCCGATTGTGCCTCAATTTATCGATATATTGACTATAACTACATCAAAAATGATAGATCAATCGATTGTGCCTATTTTATCGATCTATCCTAGATATATCGATGCATATTCCTACATCAATAGTCGCAGATAAATCGTTTGTGCTATTATAATCGGTCGATTATTGTTAGCTCCTAAATGTATCGATAGCTTGTGTTAGTTTAAGCGCTCTTTTTATTATTTGTAATCGATAGTCCTCGAGCAAGCGACACGCCAAAACTGTCTATTTACTTGTCGAGAATATTAGCAATTGTCTTAATTATTAAACTGACAAGCTCTTCGTTGACTGCTGCCCTTTAATATCTAGCAAGTCCTCAGCTCTATGGCATGTAACAAATACCTTTTAGATCAGCCCCCCGCCCCCGCCCCCTTTTCTGCCCTTTATAACATATTTAGATGTATTAAAGTCTGGACATGTGTACGAATATTTGTTTCGCATACCGCATTCCATGTTGCTTGACAACAGCGTCGTGTAACTTGATGCTGTTGCCATGTGGCCAACTACAGCAACTACATTTCCATCTAACTAGCTAACACACTTTAAACAACCACCCCCCGTCCCCCTCCCCCCCCACCACCTCCCTTCACTGTATGCTACCCTCTTCTACACAAGGAAGCAGCCCTTTGTAGTTGATAAAAGCAATGCCCCTTTGCGTTGCGATTTAGAAACTTCTGTAGAGCAGAGAAAGCAATAATAAAAATTAAAATAACAAATAGCAATGTGCAAGTGGAAAGTGGAAAGTGGAAAGCGGAAAGTGCTCGACTAGCAGCTGCCAAGGCTGTGAATCAGCTTAAATAAATATAACCGAACCGGTTCGAGCGAGGATTTACAATTTGATTTAAGCATGAAACGTAACTCGAACCAAGCAACCAAGCTCGCATAAATGTGGAAAATTAGATCTTAAGGCGTGGCACTGGAGCAGAACAGAGAGCAGGCTTTCCTTTGCGGTTACAGGGTATAATGGCAAAGGGGCTGGACACGGGTCTGTGGCGGGTCGGAGGGATAAGTTCTTGTTGCACAAGCGGTTATTCAGCTGAATAGTTGCCAGTTGCCAGTTGCCAGTTGCCAGTTGCCAGCTGCCACGCCCACAATGTAGGTGGGCAACTGTGTAAAGCTGGCAGCCACTCAGTTTTCTGGTCAATTTATGAGCTGCTGCTGTTGAAACTTTCGCTGGCCAACAGCAACGACGGCAACAAGAGGCCGCAGTTTATAAAGTAGCAACAAATAATTGACCGCACGCACACACACACACACACACACTCTCACACACACACACGCACACTGGCAAAAAACCACATCAAAAACTGTGCCACAAAAAATACACACACACACACACACACACGCACGCACACACAAGTAGCAATCATCATGATCATCGTTGTTGCAGCTGCTGCTGCAACTGGCAATTGTTGCCGGCAGCAACATGCATTGCGCCACGCCCATTCTGGCAACGCCCCCATTAACGGCGAGTGCTTAAAAATACATTGCACGTTCAAATTGAAGTGGAA